ATAACTTTATCAAAAGGTGCAGGACTTATACACTGAACAGTATAAAGCATTGCTGATAGAAATTAAAGAAGTCTGCTATGGTCTAAACATTTTATGTCCTCTCCCATTCACTTGTTAAAAATCCTAATGTACATTATGATGGTATTAAGAGACAGAGTTTGTAGGAGGTGCTTAAGTCATAAGAGTAGAGCCTCAATGAAATCATTAGACCTTCTAATATGTGAGGACATAATGAAAATCTGTAACTCTCAAGAGGGTTCCTGCCAAACATGGTGGCACTGTGACCTCAGAATTACAGCTTCCAGAAATCTGAAAAATAAATTTCCATTGTTTATAAGCTACCCGGTTTATGGTATTTGTTACAGCAGCCCAATAGACTAAGACAAAGTCCTAAACAAATGCAAAGACATCCTGTGTTCATGGACTCAAAGACTATTGTTATGCAAGTAATACTGGTCAAAGACATCTGTAGATTCAATATCTATCACAATGGCTACCAAAATCCCTATCTCAACCCAATGGCCTTGTTTGGCAGGAATGGAAAAGCAAGTGTGAAAAAACATATGGAACTGCAACTGACTCCAAATAGCCAAAACACTCTTGAAAAGGAAAGATAAAATGTAAGGACTGCCACTTCCCCATTTCAAATAGTATTACAACAAAGCCTCTATCAAAACGTTATGATTAAAAGAGTGTGGTACTGGCACAAGGACAGGCATACAATGAAACAGAATTACGAGTCCAGAAATAAACCCACATATCTGTGGCTAAATAACTTTCAACAAGGGTACCATGACAATTTAATGAGAAAAAAAGTCTCTTCAAAATTGGTATTGGGACAACTGTACATCCACATTTCAAAAGTATGAGGTTGGACCTATATTTCACAGCATATACAAAAATTAACTCAAAATGAATCTGAGACCTAAATGTAGACAGCAAACTTCAAAATTCTTTGAAAAAAACAAATTGAGTACACACAAAGCAAAATGAACTGAAATTAAAAACCTAATATACCTCAAAGAACTAAAAAAAAAGAAAATCTCACTAACGCCAACCTTATTAGAAGAAAGGAGATGATAGATTAGAGCAGAAATAAATGAAATAGAGATGAAAAATAGAAGTGATTAACAAAACCAAAACTTGGTTTTTGAAAAAATTAGCAAAACTGACAATGTTTAGCTAGAATAAGAAATAAAGGAGGACCCAAATAAGTGAAATTATAAATTAAAGAGGAGACATTACTCCGAAACCAAAGAGACTTCTATGAGTAACTACACACCTAAAATTGAACAACTTAGAAGAAACTGGTAAATTCCCAGAAACTGAAATCTACCAAGACTGAATCATAAATAAACAAAATTTTTGACAGATCAATAGTAATTAGAGATAGAATCAGTAACCAAACCCCCCACTCCACCCCAAAACTCCAGAACCAGATGGCTTCACTGGCGAATTGCATCAAATATTTGAAGAACTAATGTTAATCTTTCCCAAACTTTCAAAAATTGAAGAGGAGGTCACACACTTATATGATTTTACAAGGCCTGATACCAAATCCAGATACAAACACTAACAGAAAAAAAAACAAAAACCCTACAGACCAATATTCACGATGAATATAGATGAAAAATTCTCAACAAAATAGTGCCAAGCCAAATGAGTGGCAGGTTAAAAGCATGAAATAACATGAGCAAGTGCAATTCATCTCTGAGATGCAAGAAGTTTAAACATATGTAAATAAATGTGATTCATTACATTAACAGAATGAAAAAATTAAAATCATATGGTCATCTCAATATATGCAAGAATGTATCTGACAAAATCCAACAACTATTCAAAATAAAGAAATCTCAAAATTGGATACAGAAGGAATATACCTCAACATAATAATGGCCACGTATAGCAAGTCCACAGCTAACATCATGCTCAACATGAAAGGTTGAAAGATTTTCTTCAAAAATCAAGAATAGGAATAAGAAAAGGATGCCCTTTGTCATTATCCCTATAATAGAAGAACTGGAAGTCCTAGCTAGTTCAGTTCAGTTCAGGTCAGTCGCTCAGTCGTGTCCAACTCTTTGCGACCCCGTGAATCACAGCACGCCGGGCCTCCCTGTCCATCACCAACTCCTAGTTAGGCACGACAAATAAAAGACACCTGAATCAAACAAGATGTGAAACTGGCTTTGCCTGCATATGACTAAAGACTGCACCAAAAACTGTTATACTCTTTAAGAGAATTTGGGGAGAATAAAATGGCAACCCAGTATGGCAACACACTCCAGCAGTCTTGCCGGGGAAAGTCCATGGACAGAGGAGCCTAGTGGGCTGCAGTCCATGGGGTTACATGACTGAGAACACATGCATGAGGAGGGTGGAGGGAGACGGGTTAGTAGCAATAAATTGGTAGAAATAAAATTTAAAAAGAATTTGTATACATTTCAAGATGTAAAATTAATACCCAAAATTGGTATAATTTCTATTTAATAACAAATTATCTGGAAAGAAATAAATAAAACAATCCTATTTACAATACCATAAAAAATATGTAGGATTAAATTTAAACAAGGAGGCAAAAGATCCACGCAATGGAAACTGTAAGACAATGATGAAGGACACTGAAGAAGACACAAATAAGTAGGGCTATCTTATGTTCATAAATTGAATGGAATTAATATTGTTAGTACAGCCATACAACTCAAAGCAATCTATGGATTCAATGCAATCTCTACTAAAATTCCAATGTATTTTTTAACAGAAATAGAAAAAAATTCTGAAATTTGTATAGAATCACAAAACACCCCAAATAACTAATGCAGTCCTAAGAAACACAAAGCTGGAAGTATCACACTTCTAATTTCAAATTATACTACAAAAGTGTAGTTGTCAAAACAATACGGTACTGGCATAAAAATGGACACACAGTCCCATGGAACAGCACTGATGGTTCAGGAAATAAACCTATGCATGTAAGGTCAACTAATATTTGACAAGAAAGTCAAGAATACTTAGCTGAGAACAGGTACTCTACACAATAAACAACACTGGGAAAACTGGATATTCACATGCAAAAGAATGAAACTATACTCCTATCTTATACCACTCACAATAATTAGCTTCAAAAAGATTAAAGACTTAAATGTAAACCTAAACCATAAAACTCCTAGGAGAAAACACAGGGGAAAAGTTCCTCAACAGTGGTGTTAGAAATGACTTTATGAATATGACAACAAATCACAAGCAATGAAAAAAAAAATACACAAACGAGACTACATACAACTAAAAAAGGCTTCTTCAGAGCAAAAGAAAGAATCAACAAACTGAAAAAACAACCTAGAAAATTGTATAAAATATGTGATAATCCCATAAATTTGGTAAGACAAGAATATTCAAAATATATAGGAAACTCATACATTTCAAAATCAAATAATAATAATAATAACCCAATTAAAAATTGAAAACAACCTGAACAATTTTTTCTAAGAAGGGATTCTAATGGCCAACAGGTAACTGAAAAGGTGCTTAAAATCACAAATTATCAGGGAAATGAAAGTCAAAACCATGAGATTACCCACACCTGTTAGAATGATCATTATCTAAGAGATAAGTGCTGGCAAGGATGTGGAGAAAAGGGAGTTCTTGTACACCATTAGTGGGAATATAAATTGGTATAATTACTAAGGAAAATAGTAAGGAGTTTCTTCAAAAATCTAAAAAAAAGAACTACCATATGATCCAGAAATCCCAGTTCTGGTTATAATCTGATACAATCTGAAGGAAATGAAATCACCATCTCGTAGCTATCTGTGCTCTCCTGTCCACTGCAGCGTTGTTTACCATACTTAAGGCAGAGAAACCACCTGGGAGCCCATCAACAGATGAATGGATAAAGAAAACATGGTGCACACATAAAGCAGGAACGTTATTCAATCATGAAAAATGAAGGACTTCCTGCCATGTGTAACAACACAGATAAAACTTAATGGCATTTGTGAAACAAGTCAGACAGAGAAAGACAAATCCTGTATGATTTCACACGTAGAACCTGCAAAAAACTGAACTTAGAAAAAAGAGAACATACGGTGATTGCCAGGGGCACAGGATGAGGGAAACGAATGGAAGAGGACAAAGAATACAAACAAGTTCAGGGATGTGATGTAAAGTACCCTACCCCCACCTTTTTGGCACAAGGGACCAGTTTTGTGGAAGACAATTTTTCCACAGATGCAGGTGAGGATGGTTCCCGTGGTAATGTGAGTGATGGAGAGCAGCTGATGAAGCTTCCTCACTCACCCACCACTCACTTCCTGCTGTGCAGACTGTCTCCTAACAAGCCAAGGGGCTCGGGGTGGGGAACCCTGATATAGAGCACAGTGATTAGAGTTAATAACAGTAGTGGTTTAGTCGCTAAGTCCTGTCCTTCTCTTGCAACTCCATGAACTATAGAACGACAGGCTCCTCTGTCCATGGGCTTTCCCAGGCAAGACTATCAGAGTGGACTGCCATTTCCTTCTCCAAGGTATCTTCTCAACCCAGGGATGGACCTGAGTCTCCTGAACTGCAGGCAGATTCTTTACCAACTGAGCCACCAGGGAATAATACTGTATTATATATTTGAATGTTGCTAAAAGAGTAGATTTTTAAAGTTCATTACTGCAGAAATAAATAAGTGGTAACTATGTGAGATGATCAATGTGCTTAACCTTATTATAGTATGTATTATAGTAAGCATTTTGCAATGTATACACACATCAAATCCTCTAAACTTACATATTGTTATATGTCAATTATAAATCAATAAAGATAAGGAAAAAATTGAAAATTTTTATTGTTATTCTTTAATTCAAAGGACCTGAATAGACTTTTTTCCAAAAAAGATATACAAATGTATTTAAAGATGCTCAACATCATTATTCATGAGAGAAATGCAAATCAAGCCCACTGTGAACACCATCTGTTTTCTCTAATGGGTTCAAGCCCACTTTCTGGTTTTCCAAAAGCTATTAGGGGACTTACAAGATGGTGGAGGAATAAGATATGGAGATCACCTGCCCACGAACACATCAAAAATACCTCTGGAACAGCTCCTACAGAACACCTATTAAGTGCTGGCAGAAGACCCTAGACTTCCAAAAAGGCAAGCTAACCTCCACAGGAGGAAGGGCAAAAGATGTAAGTAAAAAAAAAAAGAGAAAGAGAGAGGCATCAGAGTTTGGGATGGGATCTGCATCTTGGGAAGGGAGCTGTGAAGGGGGAAAAATTTCCGCAAACTCAGGAGCCCCTCTCAAGCGGAGAAAGTGGGGAGCTCTGCACCCTCAGAGCGGAGCACAGCAGTATGTGCTCAGGAGGCAGAGCGGAGAGACTTCACCACAGAGGTCAGTGCCACCAGCGATCCCCAGCCTGAAACGCTTGCTTCCGTGCCTGCTGTGGCAAGCGGGTTCCGGGCGCTAGACTAAGACGTCACGGGCCAGACCCCAGGGAGAGGCCTGGGGCTGACTGCCATAAAGGTACTGTGAGGAGGCCAGGACGACGGAGCTGAGGAAAACCAGGGAGGCAGGTGAGCACTGCTGCGGGGACTCTCTGGCCCCACACACACAGAGTCTGCAGGACACAGCCTTCACAAGTGCCATAGCTGGAACGAGCCGAGGCTCGGGGCCCCAGAGGTAGGTACGCTGGCCGGCCACCACCCTAGGCAGGACTAACCACAACTGCAATCTGCAGTCCCCGAGGGGAGAACACAGGCTGCTTGGCTCTGCCAAAGCCTGCGTGAATGCCAGAGGCACGGGGCAAGATGTTGCTCTAGTCCCGACCCAAGAGATCACAGCTGCCACCAAGTTGTGAGCAGGCGTTAAGTCACTGTCCACCCTTTCCTGGGAGCCTAGGCAGCCTGACTCTGCTGAGAGACCCACAATCCAAGATCAACACCTGGGGGAGCGCAAAACCTGCCTCAGACTGTGGCAGCTTCCCACAGGCCTCAGCCGTAGCAGGCACTCCCCACACACCCCAACTGTGTCTACCACCCTTCTCCCTCTCCCCAGCCTGATTAAGCAAGTGAGCCCTAATAAGCCACTGTTGTCTCTTACTCTTATCTGGGAGGGGGACAGACACTGAAGGGAAGCCTACAAGCAGAGGCAGGGCTAAAACCAAAACAGACCACCACGGGATGTGTGACCAGGGAAGAGGATGGAAACTGGCTCCTACAGCTGAGGTGCAGTAGATTAAGTCCCTGCAATTTGCTTGAGACTGTGAACTTTGGGGTAACTGTGGACTTCGGTAGCAAGTACAAGCTGGAGTGAGGCCAGATCTCAGTATGAGCTGAACCATAATGCCAAGAGCAGGCCCAGAGATCTTCCTAGAAATATTGGAGGATTTTCTGAGTAGGGAGATTGGCTGGAGGTCACCATATGGAGAGGACAATGAAGAACAAAGAAGGATATTAATACCACTATCTCTACATATATATTTTGGGTCTTTTTTGGTATTGTTCTGTTATTGTTCTTTTTCTGTTATTCCTTTAATTTTTTATTTTTTTACCTGTTTCTTTTAAAATTGCTTTTATTTTTAAATAAATTTATTTTATTTTATTTTCATCTTACTTTTCAATACTCTTTCATCACATTGCATTTTTATCCATGATTTTGGTTTTGCAGTTTGCCAGTCTAGTTTTCAGTATTTGTTTTCACTTCTAAGTTTGTTTATTGGATTGACTTCTCTCTTCTTTTTTGGTTCCTGTTTTCACTCTTTTTAAATCTTTTTCCTCTTTTCTGTTCTCTCTGTGAGTGTTTCTTTGGCTGTTCCTATCTGGGTGTGTTGCTTTCACCATATGTCTTAAGTGTTTGTCCATCCTTTTTTTTGTTTGTAGGGGCACATACGGACTGAAAGAGAGTGGCTGGAAAAAAATATTCCATGCAAATGGAAATCAAAAGAAAGTGGGTGTAGCAATACTCAGATAAAACAGACTTTAAAGACCATTACAGGAGACAAGGGCACAACATAATGATCAAGCAATCAATCAAAGAAGAAGATAATAAAATTATAAATATATATGCACTCAGCATAGGAGTACCTCAATATACAAGGCAAATGCAAACAAATATAAAAAGGGAAATTGACTGTAACACAATAATAGTGGAGGACTTTAACACACCCCACTCACACCGATGGACAGATAATCCAGATAAAATTAAAAAGAAATACAAGCCTTAAATGACACATTGGACCAGAGGGACCTAATTGATATCTCCAGGATATTTCATCCAAAAACAATGGAATTCATTTTTTCTCAAGTGCACCTGGAACATTTCCCAGGATAGATCACATCTTAGGTTAGTAACCAAGCCTTAGTAAATTAAAAAAAAGAATTGATTTGAGCAATTTTTTCTGAGCACAATGCTATAAAATTAGATATGAAATACAAGAAGAGAACTGTAAAAAATACAAACACATGGAGGCTAAATAAAATGCTTCTGAATAACCAAGAGGTCACTGAAGAAATCAAAGAGAAAATTAAAAAATAAAAATACCTAGAAACAAATGACAATGAAAATACAACTCAAAACCTATGGGATGCAAATACTAAGAGGGAAATTCATAGCAATACAAGCCTACCTCAAGAAACAAGAAAAGCATCATATAAACAACTTAATCTTACCCCTAAAGCAATTAGACAAAGAATTTTTAAATACCTCTAAGTTAGAAGAAGGAAAGAAATCATAAAGATCAGAGCAGAAAGGAATGAAAAACAAATGATGGAGACAATAGCAAAGATCAATGAAACTAAAAATTGATTCTTTGAGAAGATAAATAAAATTTACAAACCATTAGACTCATCAAGAAAAAGGGAGAAGACTCAAGTCAATAAAATTAAAAATGAAAAAGGGATGGTTATGACAATGCAGAAATACAAAGAATCATAACAGACTATTACAATTATTTACCAATAAAATGGACAACCTGGAAGAAATGGACAAATTCTTTAAAGTACAACCTTCCAAGACTAAACTAGGAAGAAATAAAAATATGAGCAGAGCAATCACAAGCACTGAAATCAAAACTGTGATGAAAAATCTTCCAACAAACAAAAGTGCAGGGCCAAATGGCTTCACAAATGAATTCTACCAAACATTTAAAGAACTAACACCTATCCTGCTCACACTCTTCCAGAAAATTGCAGAGGAAGGAAAACTCCCAAGGTCATTCTATACGGCCACCATCACCCTGATACCAAAACCAGACAAAGATACCACAGAAAAGAAAATTACAGGTCAATATCACTGATGAACATATACACAAATGTACTCAACAAAATTCTAGCAAACAGACTCCAAAAACACATTAAAAGGATCATACACCACAATCAAGTGGAGTTTATCCTCGGCATGGAAAGATTCCTCAAAGCAATCTACAGATTCAAAGCAATCTGTATATAACTACCAGTGGAATTTTTCACAGAAGTAAAACAAAAAATTTCACAATTTGTATGGATATACAAAAGGACCAAAGAGTCAAAGCAATCCTGAGAAAGAAAAACAGTTGGAGGAATCACTCTTCCTGACTTCAGACTATTATTACAAAGCTACAGTCATCAAGATAGTATGGTACTAGCACAGAAACAGAAATATAGACCAATGGAACAAGATAGAAAGCTCAGAGATAAACCCATGCACCTATGGGCACCTTATCTTTGAGAAAAGAGTCAAGAATACAAAATGGAGAAAAGACAGGCTCTTCAATAAGTGGTTCTGGGAAAATTGGACAGCTACATGTAAAAGAATGCCATTAGAATGCTTCCTAACATCATACACAAAAAATAAACTCAGAATGGATTAAAGACTTAAATGTAAAGACAGGAAATATAAAGCTCTTTAGAAGAAATCATAGGCAATACCTCTTTGACATAAATCACAGCAAGATCTTCTTTGACCCACCTCCTAGAGTAATGGAAATAAAAACAAAAATAAACACATGGGATCTAATTAAACTTAAAAACTTTGCACAGCAAAGGAAACAATAAACAAAAGGAAAATATAACTTCCATAATGGGAAAAAATAACTGCAAATGAAGCAATTGACAAAGGATTAATCTCCAAGATAGTATAAGCAGCTCATACAGCTCAATATCAGAACAAACAGTCCAATGAAAAAATGGGCAGAAGACCAAAACAGACATTTCTTCAAAGATAATATGCAGATGGACAATAAACATATAAAAAGATACTCAACGTTGCTCATTATTAGAAAAATGCAAATTAGAACTACAATGAGTTTATTACCTCATACCAGTCAGAATGGCCATCAAAAAATCTACAAACAGTAAATGCTGGAGAAGATGTGGAGAAAAGGGAACCCTACTGCACTATTGCTGGGAATGTAAACTGGTACAGTCACTATGGAGAACAGTATGGAGATTTCTTAGCAAACTAGAAATAACACTACTGTATGACCCAGCAATCCCAGTACTGGGCATATACCTTGAGATAACAAAAATTCAAAATGACACATGTACCCCAATGTTCACTGCAGCACATAATAGCCAGGACATGGAAGCAACCTAGATGTCCATCAACAGGTGAATGGATAAAGAAGTCATGGTACATGTATACAATGGAATATTAGCCATAAAAAGGAACAATCTGAGTCAGTTATAGTGAGGTGGGTGAACCTAGAGCCTGTTATAGAATTAGAAAGGGAAAAACAAGCATCATTTATTAATGCATATGGAATCTAGAAAAATAGTACTGATGAACCTATTTAGAGAAGACATAGAGATCAGACGTAGAGAATGGACTGGTGGACAAATTGAGAAAGTAGCATTGACATGTCCATGGGATTTTCCAGGCAAGAATACTGAAGTGGGTTGCCATTTCCTTCTCCAGGTCATCTTCCCAACACAGGCATCAAACCCATGACTCTTGTGTCTCCTGGATTGGCAGGCAGATTCTTTAACACTGAGCCACCAGGCAAGTTCCCATATATACACTATCATCTGTAGAAACGATAACTAGCAGCAAGCTAGAAGGGGAGCCTAGTTTGGCACTAAGTGATGACCCAGAGGGCTGGAATGGAGGGGAGGCGCAAGAGGGAGGGGATATATAAAGGAAATGGCAACCCACTCCAGTACTCTTGCCTAGAAAATCCCATGGATGGAGGAGCCTGGTGCAGGCTACTGTCCATGGGGTCGCAAAGAGTCGGACACGACTGAGCGACTTCACTTTACTTCATGTAATTATGGCTGATTTATGTTGGTGTACAGTAGAGAGCACCACAACATTATAAAGCAATTATCCTCCAATTAAAAATATAAAATAAGTATTAAATACCTACTGATAGCACCTATTAAATACACCAGGTACAAATACCCCATAACTCTTATGAATGCTAATAGTGGGTCTGTGATGAGCTAAGGAAAGCATCTTTCATAATTTGTCTTTCATACTTTGCCTCAGACACTGGAAAACAACTCTCAAAAGTTTTTTGGCAGAAGAGAGAATGAGTAAAGAAGACAAAAGACTGGAAAATGGTACTGAACCCAACTTATTCTTTTCCCTGAAAGCCTCATCTCTCTCACTCATATCTAATCATTCAATCCTAGATGTTCCAAGAAAAAGCAAAGGGAATATCAGAGAAATGGGTAAGTGCAATGAGACACCGAAAATAGATGAATCAAAGACAGAGCGAGGAAACAGCAAACAGAGCACTCAGACTGCCACCGGGACTCATTAAAAACACATGCACGGTTGTTCCTAAATGCTAATTCATAAACAGACCTCTTATAAATCTAAGTCCTCAGATATGAAGTCCAATTCTCAGTTTTCCAGAAAATATTGGGCTTTTACTCTGCACTATTAGGAAAGACACACTGAGCTGTTAGAACAGTCTCTGTGGTCTACACTATTAACCTATTTATTATATAACTACGGTTTTACAAATTAAATCTTGGTAGCTAAACACCATGATAGATATTCCTTATATTAAATTCTAGTCTATAGTAAATTATGATAGCAATGTTTAAGTTATTTGGGAATCCAAACTTTTCACTAAGTACATGAATTAACAGAAATTTATTTGAGGGCTATTAGAACTAAGACATGAAAGTAAAGAATATGAAACATTCAGATCAATAGTATTTACATTCTAAAAATGCTGCTGGTAATTAATAACACATCTCTAGAATTAGTTCACATTCTAACTTCCTTTTCCTTAAAGAATTGCATATACTTACCTGAAAATGTAAAAAACAATTCATTTTGCAAACCAGCCCTTTGCATTTTAATACGATGACATTCAGACTTAAGTAAGGAAACTTCACATGAAAGGTCAAGAACAAGTTTGCTTAAAATCTGAAGAAGTTTCTTCTCAAAAGAAATATTATAGATACTGTTACAGGGAGCTGCATGATATCGAGCTGTGAACTGGTAATAATAATGCGGCTCACGATAAGCTGCAAAAAATTAAACAGAGAACATAGTGATGGTTATTTAAGCAATTCAAATACATCTCAACTCTTCAAGACAAATTACTATCTGGAATAAATTCATAATACAGTTGCGCCTGGAACAACGCAGAGCTCGGAATGCCAACACGCCCCTTGAAGTCAAGCTGAAAACCCGTGTGTAATTTACAGTCAGTCCCCTCACCTGTTTCTCTGTGTCCGGGCTCTGCATCCCAGGCTGTGGACCATGTAGAGCTCCAGTGTTTGCTGCTGAAGTATCCACGCATGATTGGACCCACACGGTTCAAACCCATGCTGTTCAAATGTCAACTGTGTGTGTTTTTATATATAGCTGTATATACATATTATTTTTAATTTAACAAACACTCATCTAGCAGTTACGAGTGACTTATAGGCACTGTTAGAGGCACTTTACAAACAGTAACTCATCTAAATCTCTTAAATTTATTAATATTGGATAATTTTTACATCCATCATGAGGACACAGAGGGAGGCAAGGACTACATCACACGCCTAATGTCTATTCTATGAAAGCTGAGACTCCAGCTCAGGAGCCTGGCCCATAGGTTACGCCCTTTACCACCAGGTCTTGGTGCCTCAAACTCAGAAGTGAGACTTCTCCAAGTTCAAATATTTATCTTAGAAGAAGTCAGTCATGTAAGATTGGGGGGAAAAAAAAGCATGCTTCTAACATATCTACAGGCTGTAATGAGTTCAATTGTAGTTGTTTTGTCGCTAAGTCATGTCTTTTGCAACCCTATGGACTTAGCCCACCAGGCTTCTCTGTCCATTGGATTTCCCAGGAAAGGATGCTGAAGTGGTTACCACTGCCTTCTCTAAGGGATTTTACCAATCCAGGGGTGGGACCTGTGTCTGCTGCTTGGCGGGCCAATCCTTCACCTCGGAGCCACCAGGGAAGTTCCTTGAGTTCAGTTATAACATCTGAAACTGAGAATGCCTTTCCCGCCTACCTCCATTTCAAAATCTCACTGAAATGATACAAAAATGGTAAGAAATCTACAATACTAAACACGAGAAACATTTCCTTTGCAAGACAGGGAGCTCTGTTGCTACTTTTGCTAACAAGGGGCCTGTTCCTGGCTCACAGGCTGTGACAGACTTAGCACTAGCACTGAAATGAGAGCCACCACTGTTCAGTTTGCACCAGAATTAAACGCACAGACTGAGCTACCGTCAGGCTGTGCATTCAAGGCTGACACCAGACAGCTTATAATTTTAATGAGGAAACTATCAGTTTCATTTACAATCATGAATGAAAACCAGATTTACCTAACCAAATCTGGGGAAATAAAGGAGCTTTAAAGAAAAATATGAAAATGAAAAAGGGAAAATAACATAAAAGAAAATTAATGTAGGAATCATTTGTAAATATCTAAAATTCTAACTAGTAAATATAGAAAATATATTCATAAAACTGGTATAAAGCTATTATAGAAGAGAGGAGATGGTAAATATGAAAATAATTCTGGAAAAATTTTAAAATACAAGTACTGAAAATTTCAAAAGTAACCGAATAAATGAAAATGAGGTTAAAAATAAAATTGTATGTTTGTAAATGAAGTAATTGAATTCTTGTGTAGTGCAGAGCAAAATTAGAAGAGCAAAGTAAGGGAAAAGGAAAAGAGATCTGAGATATACAATGTCAAACTGAAGGAGTTCCAGGAAAGGACAGACAGAGAAGACAGAGAAGAAATTAATCAGGGACAAAAAGGGACAATGCTCTGTAAGCTAAAGGAAGATCTGTGTCCCCACACCAAAAAGGTCCATGAAACTGTGAATAAGAAAACTGAAAATGTCACATTTGAACATTAATCTTAAAAACTTATCATGCATTCACTGATACATACATTGCCATATGATAAATAATTGATTTATAATGATTGTATCATGACTGATCACATCAAAGCTATGTGATGTGATATAAGCACCATGCAGAAGAGTGAACCTCAGAAAAAAAAAAAGAGTGAACACCGCACTAGATGAAGCTGGAAGCTGGGGCAAGGGTCACCACAGGGACTGTGAACAGAGCAAGCGTTCCCTATTCACGGGCCAAAAAGGAACTCCCTTTTCTTTCAAGAATTCTGGCATGTATCATGTTACTGCCTTAGAAAGAAACCAGCCAGAATATAAGCCACAATATTTCCAAAATGCTCTCAAAAACTGTGTCAAGAGTATTCTCTTCTGAAGAGAGCTCCTTAACTTTGGGAGAAGTACACATTAATACAGCAATTCAGGATCCACGTGTAGGTGTCAAAGAGTTATTAACAAGTTGTATAAAAGGGAACACCGCAGGCTGGAGGCTGCCTACAGGACTGGTAAATATTGGCTGGTAAATATTTCCTACATGAACAGGCATTGTTCCGCACATGATAAAACTTTCCCACCTGAGGAAGTAAACCCTGCGCCTCTGAAAGTCTGGGACTTTTGCTGTCGAGCCTCTATGATTAGCTCCTCATCAGTGCTTGGGTACTGAGTCGGCTACACAGGCTACTGGATTTTCACCACTAACTAAGGGGGAGTTTCAGTGTGGCCTCACACTGGAAGGACAGAGCACAGGAGGCCTGAACGTGGACTCCTCCAGGTTCAGTCCATGCCGATCCCCATGCTGTTCCTACCTCAGCCACGAGTATAACTCCAAGGCCTTGCAGTGAACCCCTGCAACAATTCACAAAAAAAATCCTCATGCAAGAATCAGAAGCTTTAAAAGTAGATAGATATATACATGGCTCTAGAAAAATAAAAATGATAAAAAATGACAGAAAACTCTGCAGGAGCTGTTCTCAAAAGTTTTGGTTTCTGGATCCCTTTACATTCTTAAAAATCCCTACAAACCCATCAAAGAACTGTTATGTAGGTTATAGCTACCAATATTTGAATTACTAGAGATTCAAACTGAAAAACTTTTTTAAAAATTTTACTAATCAAAATTTAAAATGGTAAAAACTCATCAGGCAATAATATTAAGAAAAGAAAAAAAAACCCTTGTAGGCATAATACTACTCTTTAAAAAGAATCAGTGAGAAGAGTAGTATTGTTTTATACTTTGAAAAGCTGTTTAATGTCTGGTTTACGAGAAGTCAGCTGGATTCTTACACTGGCTTGTGCATTCAATGACATGTGACATGCTGGTTTATTGCCTCATAGAGATATGTAGTTGGTTGGCAAGAAACATTTTAACAGCTTTTGTGGGTAATTGTGGATTACTCCACAGTAGTTCACCCACTATAACTGCAAATCTCAATACAGCTAAATCAGTAAATAATATCATAGTATAATTACAAAATATTTTTCACCTTACTGCCCCCTTGAAAGGGACTCAGGACTCCCAGGTGTACCCAGACCACTACTGTAAAACTACTGATATATATTCAGAGTTAGAGTAATTGAACTTACTAGAAATTAATAAGAAAACATAGAAAAACAGGTAAAAAACAGGAATAGAACATCTCAGAAGGAATAATAAACACTAAGGAAACTGCAATCATGATAGCGGCATAGTATTTTATACTCCCTATACAAATTAAAGAGCAATAACACCTATTTTTGTGAAGGATATGGATACAAACAAGTTTTCACATATATTATGAAAACTTAAAAACAAAATTAAGAAGTATATCTCAAAGTATTAAAGTAGTAAATAAGAATAGGAAGTTACTGAACAAAGCCCAGTAGATAAGACTAAAGAACAAGTGGAGATTTTAGAGAAAAAGATCCAACTGGAAACACTGGGGGTGGAAAGTACGGTCACCAAAACAGAAAAACAAATGGCACCAAAGTTAAAACATAAAGTGAACAGACTAGCTGAACTGCAGATATCACCTCCTTGAAGAAGAGTTTGACAAATTGCATAAAGGTACCTAAAACACAGGGCTATAAAACATTTAAAGGCCTGCATATATTGATACTATACAAGCCAAAAATATGGATGATAGAGAAACCCTAATAAATATGCTTAATTAGTATTCCAGAAACAAAAATAGTCAAATGGCAAGATTTTTAGAGATCCTAAAGGAGTCAAAAAATTTAAGAATTAATTATGTAAACCACACTCTCTGACACATTGAAATAAAAATAAAAATCAACAATTAAAATCCCTCAGACATTTCTAGGGGACTTCCCTGGTGGTCCAGTGGTTAAGAACTCACGTTGAAATGCAAAAAAAAAAAAAAAAAAAAAAAAATGGGTTTGATCCCTGATCAGGAAACTAAGATCCCACATGCCTAGGAGCAACTAAGCTCTCACGCCACAACTACTGAGCCCATGTACCATAAGTAGGGAGTCCATGCCCCACAACTAGAGAGTCATGCCCCACAACTAGAGAGCCCACACATCACTAGAGTCCATGCCCCACAACTAGAGTCCATGCCCCATAACTAGAGAGCCCATGCCCCACAACTAGAGTCCATGCCCCACAACTAGAGAACCCATGCCCCACAACTAGAAAGCCGAGACACCACAATGAAAGATCCTGCATAGCACAAAGACGATCCCATGTGCCTCAACTAAGACCCTATGAAGCCAAAAAAAAAAAAAATCCTCAAACATTTCTGAACAGAATATTCCAGCCTCATCCACATGCGTGCTCAGTCATGTCTGACTCTTTGTAACCCCGTGGACTATGGTCCACCAGGTTCCTCTGACCATGGATCTTCCTGGCAAGAATACTGGAGTTGGCTGCCACTTCCTCCTCCAGGGGACCTTCCCCATCCAGGAATCAAACCCATGTCTCCTACATCTCTTGCATTGCAGGCAAAGGCTTTTAACTCCAAGCCACTGGGGAAGAAACAGAATAACACTAAACACTCTTGCTGCAAGTCAGTAAGAACAGTGGTAGTCTGTGGATCTGAACCCAGGCTCTCTCTCCCCCTACCCTTCTCAGCTCAGCTAAGAGAAACTCCACCCCAGACTGGTGCAGACAAGAAAGGACAAGAAAAAGTCTTTCTCATGCACACCAGAGGTACCTGGTG